ATATATATATATATATATATAGATATATATATATATTAGATCATTGGTTTCTTGCAGAATAACTTCAGTTCGATAGGAAGTTGCAGCTCATCCAGGTTTTATGTCCTGAAGACATGCTTGCAGTTTACTCATTTTGCACTTTCAGATATAATTGAGTATCATCTGCATAACAATGACATTTTATAGAGTGTTTTCTGATAATATTGCCTAAAGGAAGGATATATAAGGTGAACAAGATTGGTCCGAGCACAGAACCTTGTGGAACTCCATGACTAACGTTGGTCCTCATCGAGGTTTCATCTCATTGGTTTTAAACTTGTTTGAATCGAGTTGCTGTAAAATATCAGAAGTGTTTGTTGGTGTTTCTGTAACTTTATTAATCTTATTAAATTAGATGAATTCATGGTTTCATAACAAGCAGTTCATGCTTTAAACACATTCATTCATTCACTCATTCATATCCACCAAAGAGCCAAATGAACATTCATGTTATGATTTCACTCTTTCAGAATAAAAGTCAATGTTTCAAAGTAAAGTAAAGAAAGGTGTTGAAGCTCCATGTTTCCTCTTGTGGTTTGAAGCGTGTTGATGAAGCGTGTTGATGAAGCGTGTTGATGAAGCACAATCACTGATTGGACTTTTGATTAGCAATGTTGTTATTTCCCTCCATGCTTCTCCTTTAATCTTAATCTGATTGGACAGCTTAACGAGGTAAGACGCCTTATTGCTTTTCATCCTGTCTTCTTTTACACCAGATTAGTGACACCAAACACACACACATTAGCACTGGTGTCTGTTAGCTTAGCATCACCGAGCCTCAGCTTGTATTAGCATTACAAACCCAGAATGTTTTTAACATCACTTCCTGCTCTTCTGAAGGTTACTATTAATATAAATTATTATTATTATTATCATGAATCTTACTTTCTTTAGTTTCTCTGGATAAATGACGTGTGATCTTATTTCTTAGTCTCCGTTCAGCAGGAAGCTTCACCAGGACTCCATTAGTTTTATTTCTAAAGCTGATGATCTGAATAACATCCAACATGACATCATGTGTTTGATGTGTGAACACTACCACTGATATCTGAGTGTTTTAGTCACAATGTTGAGTTTAACTTCTCTCCACTGAACCGTTTTGATGTAAAAGTGATAACGAGGAGCAACAATCAACGTGTTTCCTGGTGAAATGATGACATGAAGGTCCAGTGAGGTTAAATGTTCTAAACTCAACGTCTCGGTGGAGCAGCAGGTTCTCAGGGAGTCCCGAGGTTCTTCAAACACGCTAGAACAGAAAACGCATGCAGGTCAAAAGAGAAGTTAGAATATATAATGTATATTAATATATGATATTAATTTGCTCCTCAGACGGTTCATGAGCTTTAAGTGGAAACATGGACGTGTTGTATGCTCACGTTGAAGCTGCGAGTTGATGTTCAGACATCAGGTGAAGTTCACCGTCGGTTCTCATTTGTCCGATTATTCCGACACCAAGTGAACGCAGCGCAGACGTCTCACCATGTAATGTTGATGAAAGTTAAAGATAGTTTGTTTATGATTCAGATCCAAATGTGTTCTTCATCAAATTAATATAAAATCTTTATGTTATGTCATTTTATTTTTGAGAGAAGATGGAGTCAGACACGACCTTTGACCTTTACATTAACTGTTGGTAGGTTAAGGGGACAGGTAGCATTAGCATCTAAAACACACACAGTCAGAGCTGAGCTGCTGTCAGCAGTCATTAGTTCATTCCATTTCCATTTGTTCCTCGCTGTCAATCATGTAGAGAGAGTGTGTGTGTGTGTGCGTGTGTGTGTGACGAGACACAAAACAACCACAAAGACACAAAACAACCACAAAGAGACACAAAACAACCACAAAGAGAGACAAAACAACCACAAAGAGACAAAACTACAACAAAAAGACAAAACACCTCAACTACTGTCAGCCCCACGTTTAAAATTAGCTTGTAAAAAACAAAGAAGTCCAAAATGTTTACAAACCAACTGTAAACTGCATCAGAAGTAATATTTCACTGTAGATCTTTCGGGGAGTGAACGTGTTGTTTCAGCACGTACTTTCACTCTGAACACGGTATAAAAACAGACGTGTTTAGACGCCTCTGGCTTCTCTCTGAGCCTCCTTTTCATAATTGGACTTAATCATCTGCTCTGACCATAAAAGCAGCGCCTGTGTGTTCAGGGAGAGAACGGAAATCAAACACATCCTCTGCATTATTTATGGAGTCGTTCACTGAGTTTCATCATCTGCATCTGTTCTCTTTAAACAATCTCTCCTTCTTTCTGCCTTTTCAGAGCTTCTTTGAGGGACAGTCGGCTCCGTGGGATTCGGCCAAAAAGGACGAGAACCGCATGAAGAATCGCTACGGAAACATCATCGCCTGTAGGTACCCACCCACTGTGTCTAAAGCCAGGCTCAAGGGCACTGTGGAAGCCTCACTGTGGTAGAACAGATAAATAATATTACTCATATTTAATTAATAAACCTAACGTGATGTTGTTGGTCTTGGTTTGGCTCTTGACTTCGGTTCAACCAGCTGAAGTCAGACAGGAAACACACCATCAGGCTGATCTCATGTCAGTTCATATCATCACACAGCTCCAGGTCTCAGAGACACAACATGTTACCGCTGAAGCTAATGTGCTAACGTCCCAGAAAGTTACTGCTGACAGCTGCTCACTTTCAGCTGCTGGCTGACAGCAACACACACACACACTCACTCTCTCTGTCCTGTGGTGCTGTAATTATGCTAATGAGGTGTGATGGAGGCCGAGGCTATGGTGGCCTGCAGGGACACACTTCGTATTCACACCAGCCGTTAAAACACCCACACACACACACACACACACGCACACACACACACACACACAGGTCTGTTTGTTGGTGTGTGTCCTGTTAACAGTGTGTGACAGCAGTGACAGCCAATCAGCTGCAAGAATGACACCGGCTGACAGCGACTTGTGAATTAATTTGTCTATTGATTTATTTATTATATTTTTTTAGATTTGACAGAAACAGAAAACAAACAGAAATCAAATCAATGGATACAAAATAAACTTGTGAACTTATTTACGTTTATTGTTTTTGAACAGCCTCCAAACAACATGCATGTACAAAAACATTAATCAAACCATTATATACACTTCATCATCAGCAACACATTATTACAAAAACATAATCCACAATAGATCAATTCAAAATACAAGAATATAAATATGACATGTTGTACTTGTACTAGTACAGCCTTTAATAAAGTAATAAAGTAATAATGTACTAAGAGGAATCTGCTCACTTCGGTTAATGTTACGAAGTTAGAAACATCAGCTGTTCAACCCTCCAAACAATAACAAACATCTGGATAGTGCTAATAAAATGAATACATATACAAATGAATAACGGACAAGTTACAGAAATATTACACACGTTATTTTCACTTACAGTTGTTTCATTTATATCAGAACTGTATTCACCTGAATAGCTTAGAACCAGGGTTATTAATGTAACCTAAAAAGATGAAATAGTGGCGAACCACAGTTTAATTTCAAACGTGGACGTTTAAAGACGACGTCTGCAGGTATTCATCATCTATAATCAGTCTATTAACATGTAATAACTGGTTAATAACAGAAATGTGTGTTTATAAATCTTAAATCCTCTTGTAGACAGACAGCTGTATGAAATATTAATATTATATCTTATAAGTTAGTAAGCATTAATCTGTTTATAACTACGTTACAGTCTGATATTTCTATTCTAAATAATTAATAATAAATACAAAATAATTAGTCAACCAATCAATGGACAGAAATACAAACTGCAACTATTTTTCTGGTTGATTGATCGTCATTCAGTTTTAACACCGTGTGCTTTTTATTTATTGACGAAAGTTTCACGTTTCTATCAAATTGAGAACAAAGGCATAATAAATGTGTGTGATAATGAGACATAATTAATCTCTGTTTGTTTAATGAGATTATTACATGAGAGACAATGTATTCATTTATTAGTAGCAGCTCATTAGAGGTGATTATATTCAGCTTCACCACGGCAACAAGCTCACCAATTAACGTGTGTGTTCCAGACGACCACTCTCGTGTGCGTCTGCAGCCTCAGGACGGAGACGGCGGCTCTGACTACATCAACGCCAACTATGTGGACGTGAGTGACACACACACACTTTACTTTAGTTCCTTTAAAAGGTCGATCTGTAACGTCCTGTTTCCATGACGACGGTGGTCATCAGTCACCTGCTGTTGACTGTAAACACACTCGCTGAGAAGATGTGTGTTCACCAGCATCATGAGGCCATTTTGAGCTGCTCCATTTCTTACATTTCTTAAATTGTTTATTTGGTATTTTGGTGCTCAACAATAAACAGAAAAGACAAAAGTTCTACAAAGAGTCCAGAGAGGAATATTTGATTTGTAGGATCAGCTTCTCTTCAGCTGGAAGTTAGGTAATGTGTCCATGATGATGATGATGATGATGATGATGATGATGATGATGATGGACCGGACATGTCACTGACAGCTGTTCCTCCTCGGTTCTCTTCAGGGCTACCACAGACCGAACCACTACGTCGCTACTCAAGGTAAGAAGTGAAACACTGTCTTCTGATGTTGCTCTCTGTGTCCTCAGAGTAACAACACTCCAACTGAACTCTAGGGTCTGTAGTAACAACACTCTAACTGAACCCTAGGGTCTGTAG